TCACACGTTGGTGACAGATTATCCCTCTCTAGTACTGACACTTTACAGACTAAAAAAATGGTTGTTTTTTCTTTGGTCATGTCTTTGTATATGTACAGTATAGTTGGAGTGTGGTAAACTTGTCTGTAAATGAAGTTCCATCTAATTGTTGATAAATCTATTGTAGGGTAGATAAACGTATTGTTGAAGTTGTTCCCGAGTTGTCATATCATGATTTCAGCTTGTCCGCAGTGGCTATCACCATTCTTCGAAGTTTCTTTTAATGAAAATAACGTCCAAATGTGGATACGTTGAACGGTTCGTACATACGACGCCATACACACTAGATACAAGCGATTTTTATGACCCCAGCTTCTGCCTTGTCGCTCACACATACATATCACCAACTGCCGCGCTTTTGTTGAGTACGTCCTACGCGCGTCTCCTAGCGATTCCAGCAAACACTGCAGGATGCTGGACCAGACAGGTCGACAAACTTTCTTTTTTCAGAGCATCCCGTAACCCCAGGTTGATTTACTGCATGAGTACCGTATGTTGCGTCTCAAGATCTCCCGGGGTCCCTCTCCTGCTCGTGGGTCTGTTGACATATTTACTCCTCCGCGCCTGGACGATTTGCCCAGCCTCCATCCATCTCCATTGGCGGGGGTAACACAACGCCTCCTCACCCCTGCGCCATGTGCACCCCGCCTGTTGTTAAATATCCCAGCCCCGCGCCAACGTGACGGACATGAGTTTGCGCTGAAATACGAGAGACTCTTGCATATTTGTAGTCGGGAGAAAGAGAGAGAAGGCCGGGGACTGAATCAGTCAAGGATCCGGACAGTTCCGACAGAGGACACGCTGCTGTGAGATGTGCACTCGGTGAAAGCATCACCGCCTATCCTTCGAAGTTCTGTGCGCGCCTGATACACACGACAACCTGCAGAGACAACTCTGCAAGCCTCGACAAAGTTGAAAGGAATACGGACACCGAGAAATCACGCGACGGAGGTTCCTGGGTTGAAACTCGGTCCCAAGGATTTTTGTTGTCGGTGATGCTGATGTCTTCATCTGTGTCTGCTAATTGAGAGATACCGTAGCCGAGCCCTGCACAGGAGTGGTATACATGTTGCTGCTGCCGTTGTTGTTGTTGTGAAAATTGAGATGACATCAAACCGCTCTCTCATCCTGTGTTTTCTAAAAAGGCCGTCATTTTCAGTACTTCCTCGCTGAGTGTCTTTTCAGTTTGCAACGGCTGAAACCTTTCCACGGATGGAGTTTTAAAGGAAAACTCGAGCTACTACTGGTTATCTATCTTCGTCGAAATAAGAACAACCGTATTTTAAATGATATCATGAATACGTAGAGAATACGACGCTCAAAATCCCACTCCGTAACGTTTCTTTGAAAGTTTTGAAGAAGTTCTTTGGAGTTTTCAAAACGCTTTCCCTTCGACAGCAACCACGGAGGCCGAACCTACTGCTGTGGACAGCGAAGTTCTGCTTTCCTCACTTTCCTTTGTTTGATTGTTCAGTGGAGATTCCTGCTCTATCGGATTAACCCAGATATCGAGCGGCCAAGAAATCAGCCGGTGGTCAGATCGAAAGACAACACTCTCTACCCCCTTTCGCGCCAGGGACAAATGTCTGTTGGAGTTGTGCCCTTGTCTTGTGAGATCAAATAGAGACCAGATAAGGTCCAGAAGAAGATCGCGACTCTATAAGGAAGAACTCAAACGCGAAAATCATGCGGGTGGAGGAAGTGGTTGTATCTGCTCTACTGTTGGCCACGTTCTGTATATCTAAGGTGGACACAAGCTGGTGGTAAGTTCTCTCAGTTTTGGTGGTATTTTTGCTACATTGATGTTCAAGTATTATAAACCAGCGGTGTGTTGAGATGGTCTATCTGACTGTCGTGTGTGTTTTGTCACTGACTGCCAAACGTAAACTGATAAACACGTTAGAGGACGACGTTTTGGCCGTTTGCTTCATGTTTTGGTTTAACGTCGAAGTTTGTTGTGATCTACTTTTGTTGGGACGCAGTGGGCCTAACTCAAAACTTCAAGCAGTCGCTCATTGGGTCCTGTTGACAAAGTTTTGGTACAGATGCTCTGTGTTATTTGCTGAGAGAGGGAGGAGAATGAGGGAGAAAAGTATGTGACAGAAACGAGATTCAGTTTCCTATGATTCAAGTCCTTGCAATCCGCGCTAGCTTCTCAGTACTGATATGTAAGTTGACTACATATTACTAGTCTCATCGTAAGGCCAGCCTAAGATAGTGCTAGGAAAGCGTTTTATCCAGAACGAAGATCCTGTACTGTAAATGCACCTAGAAGGGAGGGCATAGCTCTGACATTTCAAAAACAGTACTATTAGGTCTCTGATTTAATAGCCTGGATGCCAGACCCCGGCTCAACACAATACTCCCTTCGGCTGGGGGAAGCCACAAGCCCCGATCCCAGAGTTAGGCTCAAGGGAGTCTTATCTGTTGCTTAGAGTCTATCTGAGGGGTGTATAGGTAAACTTTTCGGAGCCGAGGAGCTAGCCTATACATTGCCCCAGGCAACAGTCTGGCACCCAGGCTAATCTCTGATAGAACTAAACTGGACATGATGTACACTTAGAAAAGTGCTAGTAGCACCAGGGCTGTCAGAGTATACAGTGCAATTTTACGGAATACAGTACAATTGTATTAGTATACAGTGCAATTTTACGGAATACAGTACAATTGTATTAGTATACAGTGCAATTTTACTAGTATACAGTGCAACTTTACAAGTAAAATTGCACTGTATACTAAAACCATTGTACTGTATTCCGTAAAATTGCACTGTATACTCTGGCACCCCTGAGCACAAGGCATCGTTTTCGGTGTGAGCCGGGCCCATTTTGGGTTTCTCTTTCCACGCCACCTTTTCTAGCAGTTTGGGTCAACGTCTCTTTAGCGATGCCAAACACGCGAGGAATCCTGCCCTGCAAGTTTCGTTTGTGTGCGAACTAGTGAGACAAGAACATCAGATTGGCAGGGCAGGGCCCGAGATTAATTAGCGATTTGTTACACGATCTTTCAATCAACCAATTAGTGCGATTAATAAACAGTGGGCACTAACACTAGTGTCGTAGGGCAAAAAGAGGCAGCCAAATAGGGAAGGATTTGTGCACATGTTGGACTCGGGGCTATTGGGCGTGCATACAGTTTGAGTTAGCGGTTTGTTCTTGAGACAAAACTTTGCAAACAGGGCCGCTGATCTATCACTTTTCTCTTGATTTTGTTTACGATAGAATCTGTTTGCTTGTGTTTTTTTAAACTGTACAGTTGATGTTCTTGTTGCTATATCCATGAAGTTCCTCGTGCCTTCAACTTAATATTTTGATATCCAGTATTTGTGGACTCTTCCATTCCAATAAGTTACAATGGGTGGATGTAATGCTTTTCTCAATGCTTAAGAATCCTATCGGAAACAATTCATACATTACATTTTCAGATATTCTTCTTCCAACAATTTATGATTTCCGATATAAAAACATCTGGAAACCTTCTCTATATGATTATGTGATTTTTTTTTTTTTGCGATCGCGGTCTGGACACTTGCGCAAAAAAAGATGTCCGTACAAAAAGAAAGCCCGATAAAAAAAGCCTGAAAACACGCCAACACTAAGCCAAAACCCAAACCTCTGCTTGGAGAGTACTAGGGACTTTGACGTCCCTCCCCCTCACTTCTTACGCTTTGAAGACAAGAACGGGACGGGTGGGATAAAGAAGTAGACAAGCTGTCAGAGCGGCTCTCCAGGTCCGCAAGCTGAACAAATATCTCGTTTGTACCACAAACAACTCCAGCACCGCGTAAACTTCTACCCATAACGCTTTAGCAAAACCTAGCTTCCCGTAGCCTCCGAAGCATGCCAAAAACTGGGGGTTTTGGGGGGGTCTTCAGGGTCTTTGGGATCTTTTATGTGCTATTTTCTGATTGCATATAGACAACATGGTCGGTCTGGTTGAATTAGCCCCGTTTTTAGAACTGGGCTAATCAGAAAACAGCCGAAGACCACCAAACCCCCAGTTCTATAAGCCTGCTACGGAGGCTAAGCTTCCCGCTCACACGGGTACTTGGCCCGCTTGTTTTGGGGCTAACAGATACAAAGTAGCCGTCTGAAGTGAACTACTTCAGTCAATTAGGCGTCTCCCGCTGGGTTGGTAATCCTACGGACAAGTGGAAGACAAGTAGCGACGTTTTGGTCCTCTTACTATTGTCTATAAGCTGTCGACCTACTAGCTCCTTAATTATATACTAGTATATAATAGGAGACGAAACGTAGCCACTGTGTACACATTTCGTTTCCATTTTTAACGACAACGAACTATATATAGCGTCTTGTGATATGATGCAAACAGGTGCTGAAACTACTTTAATAGTGTAATATTCTTTCTTCTGATTATCGTTGTTCTTGCACAAAACCATAACAGGGTTTACATTCCATGCATATGTTTACGCTTCGTCCTATTTTTGACGTGTTTTAGGTGTTTTATCGAGCTGTCTTTTCTATATGTGGCATCTCTTTCCCCGCACATGCCACCAAAAGATCTGCTTGGATATTGATCAGGGTTTACATGGGTCAATGAAAACTGTTATACCAAGGACTATACAGAGCATGCAATTTTTCTGACACAACCATCTTCCAGTTCCAAGGAAGTTTCACATTTCTTTCTAAGACGAGCTGAATTGTCAACCGAGTTGTCTAACATCCAGCACTGCCTCTTGTGATTCGAGGAGCCTGAGAAAACGCGAGGGACATATTTTTGGGGTCAAAGTTGCCTCAAATTTAACTCAAATTCGATTCAATTTGTATAAGAAAGCCAGGTGTGGCCAAAATGTCGTCAGACTGCTCCCGAACTTTGCACAAACTTATTTGGCTGGTAGACGGTGGAAGGTTCTAAATGCACGTGTAATATGGGCTAGAGTGATACATTTATGCGTCTAAAGTACCAAGTTCAATATACATGTATACGTATCAATGCCATACCAAATTTCCCCACATTAATGGTTAAACTAGTTATGTAGGAATTAGTGTCCCTCTCCGTCCCTGAAACAGTGGCACTACAGTCTGGTTTGTAGGTATCATCTATCCACTTTTACTGGTCGTGACACGATGTAAGCTTCTGCATCATCTCGTGCGGTGTGGTAGGCTGACTCCCACATTCAGGCCCTGCCAACTCACTAGTAATCCTTCTTCCTTCACCTCTCTGTCAACAGGTTCTTAAGCAGGCTGGACATCAACGTGCTCGGTGCCCGCACCATCTGTGACAACATCCCCGGCCTGGTTCCAAAACAGCGCCACATCTGTCAGACCCACCCCGACGTCATGGTGTCCATCGCCCGAGGAGCCGAGCTGGGTGTACGGGAGTGCCAGCACCAGTTCCGCGGCGACCGGTGGAACTGCTCCACCGTGGACAGGGACGCGACGGTCTTCGGCAAGGTGATGGACAAAAGTGAGTATCACAGAGGGTCGTATGATCTCGTATGTACTGTTCTTCGAGTTAGATAATATCGAGAGGGTGTACAAGGGTCATGTCTAGCTTACGTGCCAAGGATGTTTTAACAATTTGGCGTTGATACGTGCAAGAATGCCAGAATGGCTCGATCTGCGGTCCTCAACATTCTCTGACAGAGCTTAGGGCAGGTATGCTAAGATGCGTATACCTCATTCACTGCCATGTTGTTTTGAAAACAACTCCTCAATGGTCCATGAAAAGCGCCAAGTGAACCGTAAACAGGAATAAGGGGATTTCTAGGATTGTTTTATTAACCTTCAAAACCTTCCCATTAACTGTCAGACAGGACACATTCGGCTGGTGTCCAAATACGTGACATTTAGCTCTAGCCCCCAGATGTGCCACCTACATAAACTACGAACAAAGTTGTAAGTTTTGTACACGCACCAACGCTTGGAGCAAAACTAACACCAACTTGTGAGGCCGGCACCTTTTTCATTCGTTCAACTTCAGACTCTCACCGACACCAATCTATAAGACATTCCGCGAAGTACAACACAAACACATTTGTACAGTCCAAATGCCAAATCATCATGTCGGCATGACGACGAGATAGGACTCAAAAGGCAGTGCCGTGAGAACAGAGCCAAGAAGTCAGAATCCGATGGTTCTGGGTTCGAATCCCTGCCATGCCCCATTGCTGTGTCCTTGGGAAAGGTATATTTAATAATGCCAGGTGTCAATGAGTACCTAGCTTCGGTTAGGGACGTCAGAGGTCCCGAGTCACGCCCGAGGTCCCGAGTCACCGCAATTACCAATAAGAGTAAGGGTCCTTCCCGGTGTGAATTACTAGTATTCAAACCTTACGGTTTGGTCTAAGAGTTGACATCTTGAAGAGGTGATAGTCACCTGTTATCCCAATCATTCCGCAAATGTGGTAAAAGCTTCATAACTAAAATAAAAAAGATATTGTGGAAGCAAAGAGTCACTCTTCACCAATGTCGGTGCGCCCCTCCCATGTAAAAGGCCAAGGTAAACTTGGTCATGGGTCGGCAGCTTCAACTACTGTGATCTTTCCTCATGTGCCACAGTGCTTGTCATCACTTTCTTGTCACTCTTGTTGTAATAGCCTCTACCAACCTTCAGATGCGGATGGAGAGAGTAGAAATTGGCCAAATAGACAGATAACATGCCAGGGGAGGACATTTTGCCGCTATGACTCGATCTGATGGAAGAAAGAGGCAAACTGTCTCCTTTAGTGGACCCACTACCCTGGTATATTGTACATTTGACCAATTTCTGCCTTTTTCCAGCCGCTTCTGAAGCCTGGTATTCGTAGAGGTAACTTTTGTAATACAGTAGGCTCGGTGTAAGAAGGAACTTGCAGATTACTTGCAGACACTGATCGAGGCTTTCTCTTTCACTACTGCCGAGATTTTATCGTACTTTTGAACACAGTGCGGCACACAGTAGAATCTGTCACCAACAAACGTACCGATCTCATACCGGGCAGCTGATTTCAAATGATTCATTGTTGGTGGGAACTGTGTTATCTTGTACAATGTATGAGGTGGGCGAGGACCACACATCTTCAGAGGTCGACAGCAGGCTGCCCACGAAGATTCTTGACCTGATTCTCGATGATTGTCGACCGGCAATCGGTATTAACCAGTCTCGCCATGTAGAACATGAACATGTACACATGTTCCTGGCTTTAAATATGTGTACGGTTAAAGGCAAGAACGTGCGAAATCTGTGGTACCTCGGATGTAGGAGGATTAACAGGTGACTTTGCTTGGATACTATCTTTTAATCCCTTGATGAAGACAGCAAACATCTGGTCCATCCGCCACGCCTAAGCACAGAAGCGGCAAGACAGTTACATGTCGGGGAGTTGGTCGGCTAAAGGAGAACAGTTTGCCCTTAAAGCACCGACATACCTGGTATGTTGTCTGTCTGTTTGAAAGATTTTTCTGCCTGGGGTAATTCAAGAATGCAGGAAGAGGCAAAGAGGAAGGAAACTTTAACATATTACTCTTTGATGCTTTTTTCTGACCGTGAACTATTTCATATCATCTTCAACACCAATAATTTGAATTCCGACGTACGTCCTCGCTTAGTACGATGTAGCTATACAATAACGTACTGGATGAAATGAAATTGATCAATCCATGCAACAATATGAGTTAGTCAGTCAGTTAGTTAGTTGTTGGGTGGTGCGTCTACTCTCTCCTTGCACCCAAGGGCTGATCATGAATTGTGAGGAGCGTCCAATTATTGGGGCGAATTTTTTTCCTGTGCACGAAATCAAAGGGAAGATACTGCGATAGAGAAGGAGCGAGCTAGCCTGCGTCCCAGACTGCCAGGGGAAGTATACATGCTAGCTCCTCGGCTCCATGGCCAAAAGAAATTTTACTACAGACTCCCTCAGTTAGCCACTCTGGGGTTCTCAGTCTGGCATTCACCCTAGCTATCCAGCATAGCATCCAGGCTAGGTAGGAGCGAGTTGCAACTGCAAATCGGTCTGACCCAGAGACCCAGACGGTGAGATGACAGCATACACACAGTGGCTAATCCCTCCGGATTACTGGATATTAACATGAGCTAAATCTCACCCGGCCAAGTATCTCACCAAAACAAATCTAAAGAAGGACGCGGACGTCCGCACTGAAATTTACGACAAGGAAAGCTTTACAAAAAAATTTGCTTGGAAGTGATGGTGGTTTGCAATGACCTCTTTCTTTTCCCCTTGTATCAATATTTAGGGATAGACTTTCAACCTTTCGTGTATGTGTTTGTTGTTTACGATACCTGATAGGTGATACCTATTCCAAAATAGTGCAAATTGAAGTTTCTTCTATGATCTAGCTCATGAAATCTTTCACTATGCTAGGGCCACAGTAGCTAGTGTGAATGAAGAGACTCGGGTTTTTTTCTCACTACCAAGTGTTTTATTCAGCCGACGTTTCGGTGACCGTCTTATTTTGCGTTTGGGAACGCATCTATAGCAGCGACATCTGCATGTGCTGTGCAATGTGAACCAATCAGAATTGCCCCGAGGAAGGTGACAGACGGTCACCGAAACGTCAGTTGAATAAAACACTTGGTTACGCGAAAGAGTCTTTATTCGGTGACTTACCAACCCGATGGAACTATCCAAGGGTATGAATGTGTACAGGCAATGAGAAAATACATGTCTACGATTTTTTTAAATCAGTCTGAAGCACAATTTTCCTAACTCTGTGACGATTGTAACTCCATGCCGAACGGACGATATCCAGCCAGCTGTACTTCTTTCAAAAAGTACAGACATATATATTACTTACTTGGGTTAAACATTGTAATTTTTGAAACAGCCAAAGTACAACTTCGGTATAAATTTCGGCGGCAGCCCTGTCACTAGTGACGGTCTCACTCGAGGTTAGAAAAATAAAGTTTAGAAGAAAGTCTACCATTCGAGTTTTATAAAGATAGATGACTTTGTGGATTGTGACATCCCTAAGCCCACCTTTGTCACTGTTTCACCAGCCGTATCGTAGCTAACGTTACATACTACAGTGCTTTGACATTGTGAACGCCATGTAACTGACCTGAGGGCACTATGCACTGGAAACGTATATAAGTGAGAACTTCGTGCACTTGTGTCATTAGCCTCTGTACACTTGAAGAAGCCAAACAGGAGAAACTGGTCGTGTGACAGGCTGAATAGAAGTTCTGAATGGGAACTATGCGGCTCCAGGTGTCTTACTGAGGGACGACTGCATGTGCAAGATGTCGGTTAGCTTGAGGAATGAATCCCCTCCACTATTTAGTGCTTTGACATTGTGAATATGGCGAGGGGCCAGTGCGATGCATGCAATCCAAGTTCTGAAATACTGAAGGTGCTGGAAACCTACAGCTAGCTTGGGTACCAGACCCCGGTACAAAACGATATTTTCTTCGCCCGCGGAAGCCACAAGCCCCGATACCAGAGTTGGCTGAGGGCACGGGGTCTGAGGTAAAATTTCCTTGGGGATATGTTGGCCCTGGAGCCGAGGAGATAGCATGTATACTAGCCCAGGCAACAGTTTGGCACCCAGGCTATAGAAAACCCATCTCGGTTGATGAATAGCTCGTGCCGCAGGTTCTGTGGTACAGCAACACCGGCAACATGTCCCCGCACTGACCCCCGGCCGGCCCGGGCTGCGTCTGTCAACAGCCGCGGTAAGGGCGTGTCTGTTTCACCGCGTAGAACACTGAAGCAGCCCCCGGTCGGTAATAGCGTGTTTCTTGTGGACCATCATAGAATACAACACTCTTCCATGTGTCATCCACGGTGTGGAATTCCAGAACGGAGAATCAGGAAGCTCGAGTATACTGCGTGTGTTTGAGTATACTTTGTACATAACAACATTAAAATTGACTTGCAACTGCCCAACTCAGATGCACACTGAACCCATATAGCTGTGCCGCGTTAGATATAACTTTCATAAAAGCCATTTGCTCGCTCCTTGCATACAGATGTAGTCATGGGGGCTTAGAATTGATGGGTGGAATGGAAAGTTGCTTTACGGAAACCCCTTTGGTATACCTGTTGTTAATGCAGTAATTGACAAAACTTTGCAGGCAAAGTGCTGAATTCTTTGGGGATTTGCAAAGCATCTGCAGCAATGTAGTGGCAAATCGGCACCACCAAACAGCAATTACTCTGGTATGGAGCTCAAGAATTCCTCAAGATGCTAGGCATCTTTTACAAGATTTCTGTCCATCTGCGTGTTGCAGGGGAATTCATGATATTGAGAAAAGACACGAATGTAACCCACGACATACTAGTACTCTCATCCATCTACATGGCAGTTTTATGGATGTCTTTCTGCAGGTAGTCGCGAGGCGGCGTTCGTGTACGCTGTGTCAGCGGCGGGCGTCATGTTCTCCATCACCCGCTCCTGCAGCCTGGGCGAGCTGCTGGACTGCGCCTGCGACCCCAAGAAGCGGGGATTCAGCCAGGACTCAACGGTCAGTCAATTTTTGTCATTTCACGACAACAAATATAATCATCGTCATATCATCAGCCAATCACAGAGTGACCTTTTCACAGTATCAGCCAATCACAGGCCTTTTCATATCAACAGCCAATCACAGTCCTTCATGCATGTCAGTCAATCATGTACCAGCCAATCATGTACCATTTCTGTTAACCGTGCCATAAACTCCATACTCATATGGCTAATCTCAAAGTTGCTCGCCGCTTCATGATGAACCTTTCTATATATAGAGTACAACAGCTTTACACATAAAACTTTCTGAGTAACTGTGCCTCTGTTTTGAAGATTTTGCATTGGCTGTGTATACATACAACGGGATCAAGAGAGGATTATGCAATAACTCATAGGTCCTCAATGGCTGTAACCTGGTATCCAGTCTATCGTGGTTGGGGCAGGCTGTCTTCGGGGCCCTAATAGTTTCCTCCCGCCCAGTACAACGGACCGCCCGGTAGGAGTGTTACGCAGGACTGTAGGAGCTTTACCTAACTGAGGCGGGCGGGGAAGAGCTCCTGCAGCCCCGAAGAAAACCCGTCCAACCCACGATAGACTGGACACCAGGTTGCAATTAAACGGGGGTATACGGTTTTATGTCAGAATAAAATTCAAAGTTGCCTCTCACAAGTTTATATATACATATATATATATTTGGTAAATGATGTATTATTCCAGGGTGAGTTCGAGTGGGGAGGCTGCAGCGACAATATCAAGTTTGGAGAGGGTTTCACGAGGAAGTTCGTGGACGCGAGGGACCGGAGTCAGAGGGACGCCCGAGCAGTCATGAACATGCACAACAACCGCGCAGGGAGGAGGGTGGGTACGTTTTACTTCACTGCATCGTCACGTCTTCGCTATATTCTCAAGAAAATAACAGAAGGAAAATATATTCTCTCTCTGAGGCCGCAAACCGTGCCAGCTCGTCATCTCTGTGTCACTTGTCGGATTGTTTTTGTAAAATTTGTGACCCGTTCAGGGAGAACGCACGTACCCTGCCTATGTACCTATTGAGTCTTGAGCAAAAAAATAGTTTATTCATGTAGACGTGAATTCGAGCACCAGCTTTTTCACTTTGTACCCAAGATCATGACATCTATGATGACTGTAAGTTATTGCATGTTTGCAAGTCATGTGGGACCAAATTAACGTCCCTCAGCCACACTGCCATGTATGCCGTTGTGTACCTACTGAGACAGCTAAGCATACAGATATATATATATATTGTTATAGTTTTCGCCAAGATATTTTGGAGCCGTCTATTAGGGTCGCTATACATAGCAGTATTAGTAGTAGGCATCCTTCTATCCCTAAAGATGGCGATAGAACTCTGTATTTTTTTTTTTATACATCTCACATTTATTCATTGACATAACGTGTCTGGATTATTTAATAGATAAATCGTTTATCTGTATATTCCCAGACTGAACACACACACTGAGCTCACAGCAATATAATTATAACATCTCATTGTTACGTTTACTAGAGGCACCAACACAAACACTTTTTTCATACACTTATCAACCAAGATCATTGGCGAAGTCGACATTTAACAAGATTCATCTCAACAATGTGACAAGCTAGTTCTACCTTTGAAAGATGTGACACTTTATCTCATACTTGTTAAAAGAAGTGGTTATCTCATTCTGCACACAAAACAACAAAACGTGACACAACGATAGTCTCAATCGGACTAACAATGCTGTCGGGTCGTGTGGCGTAGCGGCAGAGTACTCCCAAGTACTCCCAAGAAGTCCCGGGTTCGAGTCCTGACATGCCAACTATCTTGTGCCCTTAGGAAAGGCACTTTACACGACTTTCCTCACTTAATTTAGGTGGAAATGAGCATTGTCCCGTTCCGTATTTGTCCTCTTATCTGCGTTGGTGATGGCATAAAATAAGTTGATATAACTCTGTATCCAAGGGTTAGGACCGTGTTCAGTGTCGTCAATGACAATGGTGTGGCTTAATACACGTCGCTATATACATTTTGGCAAACAACTTCCATAATTGCAAGAGCCTGTAGTGTGGTTGTAATGTTAGTTTGTCCTGTTTTGTACAGGGGGTCGCTAAGAACATGAAGATGGAGTGTAAATGTCACGGGGTGAGCGGATCGTGCACCCTCCGGACATGTTGGAGGGCGATGTCGCATTTCAGGTAAATGTACAGTCACTGGCACGCACTATAACTCTGCTATTACCTACATATATCAGTTTTCTGAAAGGAATCCCCTAAGGTATTGACGTATATCACTAAATTTTTTTGGGATGGATTTTTTTATTCGCCCGTGCGCACTAGTTTGGGGCTCTTCCGGGGATGTCGACCATAAAATTTAGTCAGTGTGGCCTAACTGCACTTCACAAGAGTTCAAACTTTCCCTGCACCTGTTGCACATATGCTTCCTGCACCTGTTGCACATATGCTTCCTGCACCTGTTGCACATATGCTTCCTGTACCTGTTGTACATATGTAGCTCTATGGCGTTACTCTAATTGGCCACAGTAAAACTGTCACCAGCGTTTCTCCCAGTATGTGGGGAGGAAATCTCAGCACAGTATATACTGACTAACGCTGAACACAGTTAACCAGTTACTACTGTAAACGCTATGTGTATCGGGTTATAGGAAAGTGACGGACTACCTGAGGCGGCGGTATGACGGGGCGGTTGAGGTGACGATGAACCAGGACGGCACCAGACTCATTGTATCCGACAAGAACCACAAGACGCCCACCAAGTCAGACCTCGTGTACTTCGAGACCTCCCCAGACTACTGCTTAGCGGATGACGATACAGGTACATCATCGTGATGAAATGATAGTCTGTATAAAGAAATGAAACAAAAAAATAGTATGAATGCTCATCTGTGTTGGTACATTCCATAATGAAATTAGAGCTTACGTTCAACACAGGTGAGCAATAGTTAACAATAATTATGAAGCAAAAATATTTTGTGTTGAAATACGTCGACATGTTAGCAATGTATGAGCGATCGCCCTTGTTTACATCATGTACATGCAAATTATTTGAGGCCATATGCAAATTATCGGTATGCAAATCACCCAACTGCCACCTACTTTTTGCATACCACTTTACTGGCCGTGACGTCATGGCGACCGCTCGTATGTACGTATTTTCTTGTACATTTGCTTTGATAGAACGTCCTTGTTTTTGATTGCTTGTTAATATGCACGGTTTAAAATTCGGTCTGTCTGCATGCATGTGTTAAGTTCTTCAACATCAAGAGAAAAGGTGGCCATTCACTCACTAGATCTGTTCCCAACAGGTTCCCTGGGCACAGTGGGCCGCCAGTGCAACCGGTCGTCACTCGGAACGGACGGCTGCGACATCATGTGCTGCGGTCGAGGCTACGACACCACCAGGGTCAAAAGATCGCGCAAGTGTGAGTGCAAGTTCCACTGGTGCTGCTTTGTCCGATGTAAAGAATGCTCCGAGATCATTGACGTCTTCACCTGCAAGGGGCCCAGCAAGGAATTTGTCACGCCCAATCAGAGGCAAATCAACATTCCAACATCAAGAGTCATCGACCAATCAGATGTCTTCGATGGTTCTTTTCACGGCCAATCGAAGACGAGCAACAGGTTGGCAACACCTCGCGTCGACCAATCACAGAAAGGGGATACGTGAGTGACAGTAATGTGCTCTCATGATGGTTGGAGAAATGAAGCACAATGGACTTGGTGAACATAATCTAGTCAAATGTGTAAAATATTCCGCGGAGGTTATTTTCATATTATTTATTTGTTTTCCCTGGACGGATGGTTTACATTTCTCTGTGGTGTGGTTCCACAACTTTTTGCATCATACGGTATTTTGAAGATGTAAAGTTGTCTTCAGAATGAAGCTGGAATAGTCTTCACGTGTATATTGTGTGGAATTTTTTTCCAGGGGTAGAAGGGTCCTGGGATCGGTGCAACATTTTACTATTGTGAATGAAAAAAATGACTTAACCAATGTATGTCTAACTGCCTGAACATTATCTAGCTTTACCAATAATGCATGGACTGTGTTGTAAGAGATTGGCAAGCCATGAGTTCATGTACATCGGGTGTTGTTTCTTCACAGTCATAACTGAATCATTTATCCATTCTTGTGCTCTATGAATACAATCATGCTTATCATACACAATGTATAGCAATGTGTGGATGTTTCGTTGCTTCATGTTTTTATCAAGATATCTACATGGCCTACCTTACTTATAATTAGGCTTAGGCACTTGTAAGTACCAAGTTTTGTTTATTTTGATACAATTAAAAGAAAAATAACTTTCGAAGAATGCCCACAAGTAGAGCTCAAGGCCAGTTGTCAATTTTCATCTCAAAAACACCACTTTTAAGACGTGCCATTTTGCAGCAGATTATGAGTCGAATGTCTCAATCTTGGACCCTCAAAACCCTTTGTGCCTTTTTTACTGCACACGACCATGGAAGGATTGAGCATAGAAGGTTGATATCAATGATATGGGCCTCTTCCCAACAACAATGATCGCAAACTGGTAATAAAGTGAGAAAGCACCTCGTAAAGCTACAGCAAAATGAGAGAATGAGAAATGAGAGTATTCTAGCGATACTGTTCGATAAGCAAATGTTGTAAAACATTCCATTGCAAAATATGAGCTCCCTTTCTGCACTCTTGAATCACGTTTGTAATTTCCAGCGGATGTCATCTATGATAATTATGATTCTCCTTACATAATTTGTTACGTGGCCATACTTGTGTAAAAAAAAACATCAGTTTACAACAATAATAATTCATGGATGTCCTTTGGACAACCCGTTTATTGAGTGATCCATCTCCATCCTATACTCCACATCTCCCACAACTTGCTACATAATGTAGTTTTCTTGTCCACCGTGAACATGTGAAGGGAGAGACAATCTACACATCATGACCCACAGGACGATCAGTAAACAAGACATCTTCATATCAAATAAGCTGGAAGTTCGTCTCTGGTAAATCTGGGGTGCCTTGCACACTTTCACTTGATTCAAACGTTAAAGATACCAACACTGACAGCAATTGTCTTCTTCTTCTTTCCTTGGCCCGTTGACCAATAAAACAAAAGTTGGCTCTTTCTGTTGAAGACTCACTGGTGCTTCCATCAGTCTCCATAAACGAAAGTTTCTATATAAGTCACATTTTTTGTAGTTCCCCTGCTTTCTATTGTGTACTGCCATATGTGATATCTCTATACGCAGTATAGATATCTGGCATACAAAAAAACGGTATATCTTCCTCTGTAGTACCGGTAAGCCCAGTCTGAGTACGTCACTATCCAGGTCTGAAAACATCGATTCTTTCTACAACTCACAGCCGCTAACCACAGAACTGAAACATCTAATTCCATCTAATACTTAAAGTTTAACAAGCACAAGGAAAACTGGAAGCTGTAGTGTCCATTACCATTGATATGATGAGAAATACATTTTGTAAGTCAGAGGTGGTGCTCGCAATGAGGTATTACCTTGTTGTACATGGGTGTGCTCTGAGAGTCAAAAAACAAATGCCTCCACCCCTGAGGCGTCGCCAAAAAAGATCAAATTCTGCTGATAACATGGAAGAAGGTCAAAACAGTGTTCCATGACCCAAAAGTAGTTAAGAACAAAGTAAAGCATCTCTGAGAAGCCTTGCCTTCATTGCAGATGTGACAAATGAAGAATACTTATAAGTCAGTTGTTTTACAAGACATTATCACTAGAGAAACAACTGACAGCACGGTACATGACAAGTAGAACGTATTTGCACTAAGCACAATAACGAGTTCAACAAATTTCTTAATAAGGGCACGGAGTGCTTAATAGATCTTGGCAAGAGAATTGTTCCCATTTAACGTTGCAATGTAGAATTCATGCACAGGCTACAAAATACCACAGCTCTAGGGAACCAACAAAAGACCACTTTACTATATGCAACAGAATCATTGTAAATGTATGAATGCTCGCTTTGGTAGTGAGAAACTGAGGCAAAAGGCATATATACTAGGGATTTCATGCTGGCAATCCAGCCATTTTCCTGGTCATGACAAACTTATCATGTGTTATTTCAATATTATATGTGAGTGGACTGAGAGGCAACTGTGTCCCAGCAACTCATGAAGTAACCTACCAAAACTGTTTTCGTGTTTTGAAGAAATCTTCTAAAAAATGGCTAATGTTTGGCAGAATACACTGTGCCTGCAAAAAAACATGGTTTCTGTTGGATGTTTGGTCTGCGTTACATCGGAATTTTGCTTGTTGCAGATATCTTTTCCAACACGATATTTGAAAACTACAGATGGACGTCCTCACGAACACATGTTCTGTAGATGTACAGTACGCTCCACATTTTGCGCAGGTGCAGCATGTTCTGCTAATGATAAAAACATTGTCATAAGTCTTGAGAACAAGTACCAAAATTAGAGATTATGTCCAAAGGGAACCATTATGATTCTTTGCCTTGTGCCAGTTTCTTCATCTAAAAGAACTGTTGTACCAGCTAGTTGTGAAATCCCTGAATGTGCCAGAAGCCCCCCTCTCACTCCCAAGATTTAGACAGCATTAAACTGCTTTTAATATTATCCATGGCACTTTTGTCTACTGGTAGAAGACGTCTGTGTTTTCAGTACTGGAAGGTGGCGTTCGCGTGTTGTTGACGGCTCCATCACAGCCGAGTCAGCTGGTGCCACAGGTTGGAGGGCAGAACTCCCTCCAGCTTCTCCACCAGGAAGTTGAAGGGAGACGTGATGGTGTTCAGGAACTGCAGGGACAACAAACAGTCGGGCACTAAATTAGTCTGGTGCGTCAGCCACCCACACGGGGGCCCCGGTGCTACCCAAGGGCAAGGCACTCCACAACCTCAAGGAGAAACAACCATTAAACACTTCATTGTGAACTTAGAGACATGAAGGGTAGTGACATGCCAAAAATAAATAAATCTGGGTAAGGAACAATCAACATCAAGTCATGTGACAAGAGAACTCCAAGACGAGATCTTACCACCTTGATGAAGAGACAGAGCGTGTCTCAAAAGCTCCTGAGAGCAGCTAACATTTTGTTGTGTGTATCGTTAATAATACTCGTCAAAAGCTTACTGAATCTGTTCTACATGGCATGTACAGAACAACAAAGCATAACAGAATAGTAGTGCTATAATTGGTACAGGCTGCATGTAGCAAGTCACAAGTATGCAAGAGAGTACCTACCTACCTACATGTATACACATACCTGTCCTTAGTAAACACATATCAGGAAATGTATGTTGTATAGGTGTGACTATACTCATTTGCATACTTGTGACAAAGGACAGGTAGGTCTATAGGTAGGTAGGTGCTCATTTGCATACTTGTGACTCGCTACATGCACCCTTTACCCCTTCGACTTACAGTTTTGGCCACCAGGCCCATGGGTTCAGGGAACTGGTGTGTGAGGAGAGCCAGCAGAGCCGTGACGGAGCACAGGCCGGCTGTGAACAGGATGAAGAATGGCAACTCCTTCTTAGGGTACACCGACACCTCGTGGAAGGCTGAAGAAGGAAGAATCACATCTTAGATGTTGATATTGTGAAGTGTTAAGTGTGATGTCATGGCTAAGAAGCAAGCAGACATTTGAATGAAGCAGTTAAAGGCATCCGATTGAATTTTAGGGCAGCGAAACATAAATATGCTGAATGAGGAAATCTGATAACAAAGTTTACTGCCATTTCTTGTACATTTTTGTCATCGTTTCATTCTTGAAGTGTGCTTGAAATACCCCAAAACAAGGTGTGTTCCTTCATTTTTGTAGCCTGGGTACCATCTGGATTTTCGCAACGCTCAAAAAAATTTTGAGCGTTGCGCAGCGAAAATCCAGCGAAAATGCGAAAGCAGCGAAAATGGTACCCAGGCTATCATTTTTGGGCATCACCAACAAATAGAACCAGCCTACAATATGAAACAAGCAACTGTTTTCTGTCAATGACATTGCATTTTGCCTCACAGATACAAGTATAATACTACTATGGGATAGGCTTGATTCAACTTACTACATTATTAGAAGGACCAGAAAATAAAATCCAGTCTTATTCCCTGAAATTGCACTGGACTGGATGCCTTTGATACATATCACCACCAACCAGTGATTGAACACAAAGGCATCCAAATTTGGGAGTACACTTTTAACAAACGGCACTAGATTTATCTCTATTTTCTCACCATCAATATGCAGTAAGTAAAATGTCCTTTGAGCAAAGTATCAAAGCCAAAGAAAACCAAACCACTGTGTATTTAGGCATTTAGTGATATACGTTAGCAATGAATCTTTGGTAATAAAGCTAATGAGTCTGGCACAGAGACTAAACACTGAGGGACTAGATTTCTATCTCCAAATCCCTTCTTATACAAACAAGGTGGAATGTCAAATTTACAATTTCCGTCAGTGACACTAATATATCTACTACACTAGCTTATAGTTGCTTCTAGATTTTGCAAGAAAACAAATAAAAGAATTCTAGAATCTTCCCTCTTCTTTTGTACCCTCGCATGCATATACAGTTTCCATACCACAGGTTTTTGACCCCATGTTTTTGTACACTCACATGCATATGCAGTTTTTATATGTAAGGTTTTTGACCCCATGTTTTTGTACACTCACATGCATATGCAGTTTTCGTCAGCCAGGTTTTTGACCCCATGTTTTTGTACACTCACATGCATATGCAGTTTTCGTCAGCCAGGTTTTTGCCCCCATGTTTATGTACACTCGCATGCATATTCAGTATTCATACATCAGGTTTTTGACCCCATGTTTTTGTACACTTGTGTGCATATGCAGTTTTCACACTGCAGGTTTTTGTCTGCATGTTTTTGTACAAATGTACACTAGCATGCGCACACAGTTTTTGCAGTTGTACTACAGGTTTTTGCCTCTATGTTTTGTTCACTCACATGCATATGCAGTTTTCATAGGTCAGGTTTTTGCTCGCACATTTTTGTACACTCGCATACAGTTTTCGTACATCAGGTTGTTAACCCCAACTTTTGGGGATTGGGACATGTGGGGTTTTGTGGCATAACGGCAGAGTGTTCAACTCAGAATACCGGGTTCAAATCCTGTCCAATGTTACTGATCTTGTAACCTTGGAATTCATTGTAAAGGATAATCGAGGGCTCTCACAATTTAGCCAAGAGCGTTGTCGGGACCCCCCCATGCAGGCCCCCCTAAAGAGACTTACCAGGCAGAAGCTCCCGGTCTGCAGACTCTGTGCAGCTGGGGTAGGGGTAGAACAGGTGACCCTTCTCCAGGGGATACGGGATCATCCGGAATGCTGAACACAAGAAAAAAACAGAAAAACATTTAAGCACACCAACAAGTGTCATCATACATGTATCTATGTACAACAGAATGGAAGGTCTTGCTGACTTACTGCTACTTGCATCAAAACAATAGTCCTATCCATCTACATGTACTAGTATATCATTCCAGCTCCTGGTCTCTAGAGTGTGTTGTTTGATGTCTACACACTTAACAAGTCTGATCATAATCTGTTCTTCATTCGGACACTACAAAAATGTAGTATTGAGAGGACACAGTGATGTCCTACCGTTTGTAACGTATGGCATGATATGAAATTGAAGTTTCTGGGGAAAAAATACACAATTTACTGGATGCAGTAAGGTCACGAGTCAGACCTAACAGTTTAAAAGTCCATCTTATCAGGTTCTTTGGTCAAGTAATGAAACAATACATCCTTGTTTTACAACACCACAGGTAACGTTATATAGACATCCACATTTCCAAAAAAATCACAGGTCTCGAAAAAACAAAATCTTCCGAAGATATAGTTCAACACTGGTATAAAAATATGTCTTTGGTAGATTGGTGATAGATGCCTTAAGCTAAAAAGTATCAAATCAAAAACTGTAAAAATATTTATTTCTGTTGAAACAACAAGAGTAGTATCTCTGAGATCAGTGTGAAAACATTATGGGAACATACTGTGATGTACTGCATATGCCATAACTTTTCCTTTTTATAAAAAAATATTCTAGTGGACATAACAGCAGGTTCTACTCTGTAACATGGAATGGATTGGACCAAATGGCAAAATTTAGTATTGGTAAAACATAATGCCGAATACAATCCCAAATTTGCAAATCTTCTTTAGGATATTTTATGTCCAAATCATGAATTTGTGATGATAAACTCAATACAAAGAAGTAAATGTTTATGAGAAGAAAGTCCCAGTTTAGATAGTTGCAGGAAATCACAAGTGTGCCCAGACCACACACTTCAGTTACAGATAAGGATGCTGACTGCCTCTACTTAAGATGTCAGCCTTGTTTATAGCAATGACCTGGGGACGTCCTGGGCCACATGCTCTGTGAGGCAGGGATTAAACAAAGCAACAAACAGGACCGGGATGAAAGAGGCTGAGAACGAGAGTTAACTAGACACCACGGCTTCTCTAGAGGCAGTTCTGTTCTGATTTGTGTGTTTTGAGTCAGGAATTTTCCAACAGGAAGATGTGATGGATCTCTATAATTATTTTGACGAGCGATGGAATGGTAGATTACAGAAGGGACCTGATAAAACTGAGGGCATGTCAGTCTTATTTTGGAAGGGAAAAAAAAAAGACATCGAACTGAAACTTTCCGTCATGGATTTTTATCATTCCATTTAGGAAAGAGGGGGGGAGATGTAGCCTAGATGCCAGACTGTTCCGAGGGCCAAGACACAAGGTAGACCCCAAGATTCTCTAACTGAGAGGGTCTGTGGTAAAATTTCCTAAGGGACTTGTTGGCTCTTGAGCCAAGGATCTAGCCTGTATGCTGTCCCTGGCAACAGTCTGGCACCCAGGCTAGGGCAGATACAGTCAACTTAATGCATTTTATTAATTTGTACAACATGATTCACATGTGCAGCAAAACATAAATCGAACCTGTGTTCAGTTTAAAATTGTATGTCGAATATCATCATAGTAAAGAGAATAAGTGCATCCTACCAGTTACTTTTCATAAATACTGGAAGTGAGTAACCAATGTTAACATTAAGAGGAACAGAAAACTGAGAAGGGTGGAGGGAATTGGTTGTCAGATCATCTGTGGTGCCCTAACGGTCGAACAATTAGAACAATTAGACTAAGGGATAGATGAAAAGTTGCAATTAACATGAAAAAAAAACTGCAAAAGTTGACTGCTCAGGAGAGGAGGAAGCACTCACATCAAAGACAGCCATTTTCTAAAACATGTATCAAGTTTACATCAATGATATCTGATGACTGTAGAGTAGTGACGTCTAAAGCAACAAATTTTCACAACTTTATATAACCAAAGAGACTGTCAGGACATTTGTACAAGCTAACTTAGTCGGCACAAAAGCTGAACAAACAATATACAAACTGTCGCTTCACATCAATTTATGCCAAACTCAATTTAACGTGTCCTTCAACAAACTGTACAAACAAACTCAAACATCATTATTTTCGAACGGTTGACAGAACTGTATCTGATTGGGGCAACAAAAAAAATTGTACCACACTAGCTATTCCACCCTCCATAAATTGTATAGCCCACTGAACAGTTACTCGATAATGATAGATTCAGAACATGCTTACGAAAAGAAAACATTGTTAAAACTGAAGGGAACTCAGGAGGGAACTCATCCAAAAACAAGAAAGCCTTCACTGAACTACTAACCATGGCACGGTGCATCTCCTACTGCTGACTCACCATAGGGGCCTGTTTGGGAATGCCAGAGAAAATGATGTCCTGACATCAAAAGCTTTCTTGCTATTTTAACAGAGAATCTATGTGGGCCAGGACCAGGGCAGGTCATCACATACATTTTTTGTAAGTCTACAAACGGCTTACGCAAGACAGCCTTCTGACATTACTGTCTACAGACATGTGGGCTGTGGATATAACCTACTTTTTTGTTTCGGCTGTCTTTTTAGCCAGTTCTCTTGTGTAAATACATACTAGCAAAGGGTCTGTCTCGATCTACACTTTCAAACATCAAGGAACAATCTTTTACTCATATTCTACTAGATACATGTACAAGTTAAGGAATACCAGAAGAAAGAAAGCTTGTTGTTGTAACATGTATGTAGTTGTCAATGATAGAATGATAATTAGATACATGTAAGACCTGCAGATTTACATGTGGGCAAAACCTGATGAAAATCTGCATATGTCGAATATTTTCTGCATGTAAATCGGCCTGCTTTGATGTACATCAAGAACGTACCTTCAGATTGCACGTTACCTCAAGGGCTGGCGTACGATCTGAATGTACGTTCTTGACGTACGTCAAAGCAGGCCGATTTACACGCAAGAAAAATTTTCCATACATACACTTGCGTGAGCACGCAGTTTTCATACAACCAGGTTTTTGCCCGCGTGCAAATCAGGTCTCAGTCATAGAGAAGAAACACTGAACAGAATAGTCTTCAAGTCATTGTTTCCAAATATGGTAATCTGGAAGCACCTATTTTTGTGTGGGGGTGTAGGGTGGTACTTACTGCCCTCCCAGGTGCAGTGCAATTTGTTGTTTCCAAATATGGTAATCTGGAAGCATCTATTTTCGTGTGGGGGGGTGTAGGATGGTACTTACTGCCCTCCCAGGTGCAGTGCAGCAGATTGAGTGCTCCGTCCACTCTCTTCCAGTGCGGCAGGTGGAAGAAGGCGTACGCAATGGCCTCGCTGTCCCCTCGCTTCAGCAGGTGCTCCGGCGGGAGGATCAACGACTTGGTCTCTAGTAAGTACTGTGGAAACAAACGGCGCAAAATGGAAGAGATTAAAGAAAGCAAGTTTGTCATTGTGTCAATTATGTTTATTTCGTAAAATTCTAAGATTCCCAACAACCAAAGGTTGGTGATGTTTTTGCTGGATCAGAATTTTGCCTATTGCTTATGATATCTTTTCTGACACAACATTTGAAATCTACATACAGGATGAAATCTTTAAATATACAAATACGACCTTGAAGTGCTATGCACAATACATGTACATTACAGGTTTTGCACAGGTACATTACATTCTACTGACGCACTGTGGTATATAGGCAATGCAGCCTTGTAAAGGCCCAACATTCTTTGAGCTGCAACCAGTCCAATTTAGACATAACCTATAACTTCTGGACCTGAAAGGTATCATACTCGGTGGCAAGTTTATTTTGGGTTTTATTGTTGCATCCTAATTGCTTTTGATAACTAGATTTTCTTTAATGTGATTATTACATGCACCACCTGATGCAATTTGAAGGTTACCACTAATCTAAAAAATATATAGTGCCATTGTTATTGAAGTGTAAAATGAAAAGCAACCATAAAGTTATAGTAAAACATTGAATTTTATTCCAAGACACAATTGAACAGGTATCAAATTTTCAGCGACCACTGTCACCTTTATCACGATAATTAATGACCAATCACTTCACAACGTGATCTCGCGAGAGTTACGGTTACAAACACGTGACCTTATCCCTGTACAATTGTGTCTTGGAATAAAGTTCAACGTTTTACTATGATAACTACCAACACAGATGAACCTTCATGACAACCAGAAAGTTGTCTAACCTTTGGCACATGTGGGTTGAACTCCACGGCTCTGTGTATGGCTTCCACCGCGTTCATTTCCGCCGTGCTCAGCCCCCGTTTGGACGCTATCTCTGGCGAGAACCTACAGGATGCAAAAGGGAAGCTTCTGGTCTAAATATAGCATAAGGGTAAAATGCTGGAGCAGGGGGAGGGGCCACCGCAACTCAGGAAAAATATGCGCATAATAAATGAATGATGTTTCATTGCATTAATAGACGATTTCAATCAAAAATTTCTAGTCGTCTTTCGGTCATTTGACAGAATTTTGCTGCTCATGACAGACAGAAATTCATCCATCATCTTTCACGGAAAAAAATGGAAAATAAAACATGACTAGTGGAAAAGGGTGTCATTAAACTAAGCACAGTCTAAGAGCAAAACTTGCACCTGAAGCAAATAGCATTTCAGAGGGTCAAGGTTTCAAAATTTTCTCCTGCCCCCCCTAGGATTGTCACCTTTGGTACTTGACATTATGTTATGTCAAATAAAATTGTCAAATACAAACAGGAGAAGGGAAGAAAAATGGCCACCTTAACGCATGCAGACATTGCCTGGGGCAATACACGTTTGAAGTCATGCATTCAAAGGGAACACTAAAACAACAGTTCATTCGTCTAGACTTTTGAAGGATTGAAAAGTTGGACGTTAACGATGTAACAGTGTTAGGCCACAGCAAGTAAATTTTATGGATGACATCCTCCGCAGACTCCAAATCTAAGCGAGTGGGCGAAAAAAAACAAGGCAGGCCGAAAAAAGAAGGTTCCTACATTTTAAAATTTTGACTCAATCATTGTACAAATGGCTTTATTCAGTGGAACATCACATATACACAGCCAGCGTCACATATCACTGCATCAAAGGAAGAAACAAAACATTAAATCAGAGCCTTTTCTTGTCTCCTCTCTTCATAGTTATCTGCCATCCACCTTCCGGCATGGCAACAGACATCTTTGCCCATTTTCGGCATGTTGACCACTGTCAGAAGCTACAAAATTTCTTGTTTTTTCTTCTTCCAAAATCAGGCGAAAATTAATGTGCGCTGATGTCATCCATAAAAATTACTTGCTGTGGCCTTACAGAAAAGCTTGAGGGAGAAAGCAAGCCCCCTTAACTCACTTGTCTGCGACAGCTCGAGCCTTTAGCAGCGCTGCTGTATAACATATGGTGGCTGACTTTGGTAGGCTGATGTCTGGAGGAAATGAGAGAGAAAATACGGTATTACACACTGGGGTGTGTCATACAATGTATAAAAACCAGCACCTTGAGGAATTCACACTTCTATGCCATGGTAAATGGTGTTCGATGGTGCTTTTTGGTTTCACCTTTGCCGCTATATTTTGCAAAATCCCTAAGAAGCACTTGGCCTGCAGAGTTTTGTCCACTTCTGCATGAACAGGTGAACCCCAAATGGATTTCCAAAAAGCAGCTTTTTCATTCCATTCCATCCATTAATTCTTGGCTCTCAACACTACATTTTATATGCAAGGAGCATATGTATGGTAGTGGATGCTACCTGAAGCGTCTGCTTTCAAAATCATATCCAGTTGCTTGAGTAGGTAACTGTTTTTTGGCGTATTTTATTACCTGGATGTCTAACCTTCACCAACAGAACTCTCCACTCTTATACATGTACAAAATTGAAAGTTACAGACAACAGCATGTGGGCAGAACATACTGCGCCTTGGTGAAAACCCCAATTTTTCACAGATTTCATTGGATTTTTGGTCAATATTGCATCAAAATTTTGCCTTTGGCAGACGATCCTTTTTCAGACATAACATTTGGAAACTACAGACCTTATATGCACGAATATGAGACATTCTGACAAAGTGCTATGCACAATACAACACATTATGGGTTTTGTGCAGGTGCAGTATGTTCTGCCGGTGTGCTACACACAACATAACTGCGGCCGACTCACCATCATATTTGGCCAGTACAGCCTGTACATCAGCGTACGCCTGCAGCTCCAACAGAGCCTCGATCAGGTTTTCATGGATGTTCAGCACACTCATCATGGGGAACTCCTTCATGAGCTGCACACACAAGGCAGAGAAACACCGTCACGCAACAACATTCATGACTACCTTTTTCTGGTACATGTATCACACAGAAATATTCTTCTTTTTCCTTCCTTTCCCTTGCTGCAGGAATTATAATGGGGAAAGAGGGTATGCTTGGAGTGGTACTGGCAGCACTTAATGGTAAAACGTTTAACAGTAATTAAGTTGTAGAACACTTTGGAAGCAACTTCTTTGGACTGTTCTTTTGTATACATGGAGTCTTTGGCAGAACTGGTCTGCAGACTTTGGATGCTCTGTTATGATTTTGGGGCAATCTGGCATTCGACTACATCATACAAAGAGTTTTTCTGTAATACTTAGTGAAAAATCTAGGATAAGAAATAATGCAATAAGTAGAATTAAACCAGTCAGCTACAGTTAACAGCAGCTGGCTATGATTAACAGTGAAACTGGTTGCTACACCTAATGGAAAAAGGCATGCAGACCCTCAGGAAACATCAGTAAACACATTATCTTTAAGTTGTTTTGTTGCCTTTTTTTTTGTTATAAGTATGAGTGGTTCTTACATCTCTCATCATCTTGACGGCTTCCTTCACCCTGCCCAGCTTGCGTGCACACATGGCAAGTCTGCGCCGTACATAAACGCACACATTCGTGTCCCGTCCTGTACAACAGACAACAAAAATGATGATTTATTAGCAAGAGAGCAGTCACATGCTGAATTGCATTCTTTGTTCCAAAAAAGTTACAAATTACATATTGACAAAAAACAACTTGATTTAAAATATGTCATCTTGTGTTAAAACCTAAACACTTACGTCAAGAATTAGACAGAACATGTTTCAAGTTTCTGTCAACTCTGTCCACCTAGACTCCTAAATTTGGAGTTGTGTTACCCAACATTAATAGTTCCAACTGGACATGTGTTCATACTAGATTGAGTTTATCTAGTTTTCCTACATTTCAAGATTGAGGGTCTGCTCACCAATTTTAACTCAACCTGTACAACTGCATATTCACCTATCTAAAATCTTAGTAATTCTTAGCAGGCACAGTGAGACAAAATACTGAATGGAAGCAAACCTCCAGTGATGAAAAGAATGGGTACTCACTATGTATGGCCTCGTAATGTGCACCTAGATGCTGTGTGGACTGGCTCTTCTTGTAGTTTGCTTCCCCCACTTTTAACGCCTGCTTGAACAGTCGCTCCGTCTACAGGGGAGGGGAAACAAGGATGGCAGAAATGAGACAATCGAAATATTACTCATCTTGTTCTGATACCTGATCCATCTGTGTCATCTTACCATCAGTGCTTTACAGTTTTCTTTTACAACAACCAGGACTCGAAATACTTTTTTCTGCATAGTAGTGCCGGTAATATTGAACATTATCTGCACCATTTTATCTACACCACTCAAAATTTAATAAGTATGGATCACAGGAAATATGGATCAATATTCATAAACCATTGGCATTTGCCATTATTTCTTTTATACTTTATAAAAATCTACATACAGTTACATGTAAATATAAATCCAGTACATGGACCAGTGCAGGTTTGGTGCAAGTTGACATCAGAAATACCTGCACAGCTCTAGTTTTACCTGCACTAACCTGCATATGCAGGTGATATAACCTGATTACTGTATCATGATATGTAGGGTATCTCGTGGCTATAACGTGCAAGGATGTTTGTAGTCCAACCATACACACAGAAGTTGTCTTCCAAGAGAAAGCACAGTGTCCAGTGATGTAAGATAAGGCTGTTCATACCTCTAAAATGGTAGTGGCTTCTTCTTCAGCAAGTAGTATGTAAGCAGTTGCACATCTGAAAACATAAAAGGAATTCAACATCAGTGACATAAAAATACTGAGAAGAGCGAGCACTTGAATGTAATATGATGTAACTCCTTTATTTCTCTGTCAAGCCTGGTTTCTTTTTAGGGTCTGTCAGCTAATCAACATGTAGGTAGTACTACAAGAAGAATGAAACAGCCAACTACAATCTCAACAGCCAGTTTGAACCGCTTTTTCTTTCACCTAGCCTTTTAATGATGTGCACTTAACAATACTTCTTCTCGAGCCACGTACAAAGGAACACCTACGCCAGCTTCAAGAGCTTTTATGCAGATGCAATTACAGTATCCATCACTGCATGGTGACTGCTTAGCACAAGAGACATATCAAAGGGTAAGATCTAATAGCCTACTTCACCCTGAGGCTAAGTACTAATTATCTGCTATAACAGGCAGCTTGCTGCTTCTGTCATATTGATGCCTGGAAGACATGACAGTGGATTAGGCCTAGGAAAAAAAATATTGTGTTTCCTGTTTCCCGACCGACCCTAGAAAAAAATGCCGACCTTAGCCTTTTTCGGGGGAGACGCCTGCAAGGAACATACATTTTTTTAGGTGATCGACCATTTCTTGCTCCATGATCTGACACCTGAGTGATGAAACGTTGTACAATCGGTTTTCCAACGTTAGCATTGAAAATATAAGTGTCCTCATGCAAATTTTACTTTGTTGAACTGCATTGTATAAGTTGGATCACTAGAGAATAAAAAAAAGAAAGAAAAAGAAAAGACTAGACATTACATTCGCATATAGTCTGCTCTATTAATTCTTACTCAAATACATTCATAAATATGGTCAGACAGGGGTATAAATCCCTCCTACTATAAAATTGCAACATAATGTAACCCAACACAAGTTACCATGGTGAGAGACGTCAACAAATCAGGTCATTGGCCAGGTCGGAGGTCACTGTTTGGAACAGAAGAAGAAGAAACAGAGCAAAAACAATACGTTTTCCTTCGGTAAACATGATAATCCCTACCTACCGACCCTAACTTTTTCAGGACTGAAACAGGAAACACAACATTTTTATCCTAGGCCTTACCATTAAGAGGAATGATAAGGGGTGTGGAAATGAAGCTCTACTCACTCGGGATCTTTTTCGAGGGCCTCGTGAGCGGCCTTGATGCGCGCTTGCGGGTTCCGCTCCCGCCACGCTCGCTGCATGACCGCTGAGGGAACACAGGCCACTTTTAAATGGCAGAACTCAAATCATTATCAATGGCAATATCGGCATTACACAGCACTAGGTAACTATTATTGTAACGAATGCAAAAACATGACAAACAGGTGCCATTTACATGTATATGTATCAGGGTTCAAAATACTTTTTTATATTACAAAAGCTAGGTAGCAAACCAAAGTTTCAGGTTGCGGTCAACACCTGCTGTTAAAGAAATAGGGAAGTCGTAAGACTGGACACCTGTAAAGGTATCGCTCCCACACTAGACAAGAAGGCGGGACATGATGTATTTCAGAAGCTACAAGCTCAGCTAAATTTTAACAGGTGGCTTTGTATGCAAAAAAATAATAATAAAAAAAATAAAAACTTTACCTCTGTGGCAAAAGTGTGAGAGTTGGTATTTTGAACCCTGCATGTATAGTCTATGGCTAAGCTGAAGAAGAAATGCTATAAACCTGCATGTAGCATACAACCTCCTCAGTTTACTTCGATGCAAAAATTTAAAAAGGTTGTTTTGTATGAAAAATGGACAACCTAGAAGTCTCACACAGAATAATATTAACAGAAATTGTGTGGCAAGAGTGTGAGAGTTTTGAACCCTGCATGTATAGTATGTGGCAAAGCTGAAGAAGAAATTCTATAAATCTGCATACAACCTCCTCAGTTTAATTCAATGCAAAAAAATTTACATGTTTCAATGGCAATCACTGTAGACGACAGACTTACAGACATTGTGAGATACCAAATCAAGAGACAATGTTGTGAGTTCTTACACTCATCAGTTGGCCGACTGTGATCCGTGTCACATGTGAAGAACGTCTGATGATCCTGCGCTGATAGGTTCATGTCGTAGTACGTCAGCGGCTCTTTCCCCGTCACCCACGTGTAACGGTTGTACTCCGCTCCTCGTAGCAGGTTGAGTGGATTTCGCCACACTTTACATTCTGGAATGGGGGGAGGGGGGATTTGAGTATTGGGGGGAGGGGGGATTTGAGTATACATGTAAGTGCTATCCAGAACTACAATCCTTCTCAGAGAGATTGAGGATCGTCACTGGGCTTAGTCTGGTAACCAGACCCCCATGAGCTCAGCGCTATCTCCTCAAAGCTGGTAGCGTTTTGGGCGGCCAAACCAGGCTCCAATTACCAGGCGCCGCAGGTATTTTTTTTGCAGACCGTTTAGGTTTCTTCGCTCTTCGTGCAATAGAAGACTCTGCGTATGACTCTGCGTAATACAGGAAGTCAGCAAATTAAGGAAACCAGCTGGTGATAGGTCCGTGGTAATAGCTTGCCTGTGGGCGCTTAGTAAAGGACGGGGCACCCCAAGGCTACATTGGGCATATGAATCAGAAATATGAAAATTTACATTATATATTTATTCATAAATCATGTGTTGATCATTGCTGCACACAATATCTACATTGATTGTAACCTTGAATGTTTCCTTTAACTCTATAGTGGACAGATCTTGAATATCTTCCCATCCACACATATGCAAATCGCAATCAGAAGATGTACAAAGCAGCATTAGAAGCTGTGCATTTCTTGATTAAAACACATACGAAAGTCGTGCAATTAGTTGAAAAAAGTCGTAGAAATCGCATTCATTTCTAGTTCTATTACAAGGCTTTCAATTGATTAAAACACAATCATCACAAGAAATTTGACAAGAAACAAACTAGTAAAAACTGCAATTCTCGTTGAAATTTCTAGTTCATTTCTAGTTCTATTACAGGGCTTTCAATTGTGATTAAAACACAATTTACAGAATTTGACTTTTGCACAAGAAATAAACTAGTAAAAACTGCATGCGAAGTTAATTGAGATCTGTACCATACACAAGTATTGGTACCAAATTTCTATACTTTGCAGATGAATGATTTTGCCATGCTCTTGGTGTGTAGTGTACTCACCTGGAACAGACTGTTGATTGTTGTTCTGTGAGTTGTTTGTGTTGTTGTTTCCGTTGTTGTTGTTCTCCACCCCACCGAGCCACGGTCCCAGGTGGTTCAGGGACACCTGCTCGATGAAGGAAGTACCGTACTTCCGGAAGTACCACCACTCAAAAATCTGAGGAAAAAAATACCACATTTTAACACTTTACTTATAGCTTTCTCCTTCTATCTATCTGTTCATGCTTATGTTTTGTATGCATAATGTATTTCAGGGCTTGAAATCCTTTTTTTTCTGCATACCTTCACCAATACAAGTAACATTGAAAACTAGAGTTCCACGATCTCATACCTTCGCCAAATGAGGTTAGCCTTTATGGCTAAGAAATTATAGATTAATTACTGATTGTGCAAATAGGATCCTATATTGCATCAATTATATCTGTAGATCATATTCTACACCAGAAGACAGCCTTATCTTATCAAAGAATGCCATTATAGTATTTCCTCATAAATTATGCAAATGAGGTCCTTATTTGAATAAGTTATGTTTAATTATGTTCACCTTTACATAACTTTCAAATATCCCAAGTATGAAATTCCAGGCAGTTACCACTATGTAATTATAACATTTTCTCATTAATTATGCAAATTAAGTCCTCATTTGCATAATTGATATCTGCCTGTATTTCTGCCATTCTCAATTATGTATGACACATGCTTGAATAGTCCTATCATGGAATGCAGCTGATTAATAGACTTTCCTCATTAATTATGCAAATTACATTAATATTTGCATAATTGTAATATCATTATGTCAAGCATCACTTCAGCTACCTACATGCCAAAAATCACGACGATCCATCCACCGGTTCTTGAGTTATCAGCCTTAAACATTTTCTAACTAACGCCCCTGCAGTTCCAGAGCAAGCAGCTAGGGGCCAAACTCACGTCACTTCTCCCCAGCACGAGAGCTACCTACCATGCAAATTTCGTCACCCTAGCATGTCTGGATCATGAGATATCAAACCGGAAGTTCAGCTGCAGTACCATAACAAGCCGCCAGGGGGCCCAAAATCTAATCAGTTCGAGCTCTCATCAAGACCTACCCACCTATCAAATAACCCACCTATCAAATATCAAGATAATCCATCTAAGCTTTCTCGAGTTATGCTGTTGACAGACAGACACACACACACACACGGCCAGGAAAACATAACCTTCTCCAATTCTTGGCGAAGGTAATTACTTGCAACAGAAAAATGTTAGGCCACGCCAATTTAATTTGTTGGTTCTCAGATTTTTTTCAGAAAAAAATATGAAGCGACAGGGCGAAAAAATAAAAACTAGAGTTCCCCGATCTCATACCTTCGCCAAATGATGTTAATCTTTATGACTGACAAAGTTTAGATTAGATTATTCCCCCCTGATTTAAGAAATAGGAACCTAATTTTCATGAATTATATCATTTTATCATAATCTCAACCAAAAGACAGTCTTATATTAACAAAAAATGCATTCTAGCATTTCCTAATAAGTTATGCAAATGAGGTCCTGATTTGAATAAATTATGTTTAATGATGTTCACCTCAATTTAACATTCAAATACCACAAGTATGAAATTCCAGGCAGTTATCATTACATAATTATAAAATTTTCTCATTAATTATGCAAATTAAGTCATTATTAACATAATCAACATCTTCCTGTGTTTCTCTCGTTGTCAATTACCAATGTCACAAGCTTCAATTGTCCTATCATGGAATGCAGCTGATTTATAGAATTTCCCCATAAATTATGCAAATTTCATCCAAATTTGCATAATTGTCACATAATTATATTAAGCATCACGCAAGCTACCCACATACCAAAAATCACGACGATCCGTCAACCGGTTCTTGAGTTATCCCCTTTTAAA